AGATATAAATCACTAGTGATAATGAATGTAAGTTCTGTTTATGCTTATGTTTCTGTATTGACGATGATATCGCAATGTTTTAAAATGAATAAAAATACATTTCTTCGGAAATGCTTTGATAACGTATTTATCATGTTTTTCTGGGAACAAATTCCGCAACATTTTTATTAAAAGAGGTACTCTGATTTTTATAAAGCATAAACAAAAATCGGTCTTTTCTGGCCGTGAAGATGGGGATGTCACAAGTCGTCTATGGTGGCCGGATTTCTCGAAATTGAAACCCAAAAGACTCAAAATCGGACCCAAAATGTGTGAAATCAGCAAAAGTATAATGAAGCAAAATACCGGTGAAAGGCGGTGAAAGCGTCGGAAAAGAGGTCGTCGGTTCAGAGAGTTTTGGGATATAGATTTCTTCGTGCAACTGTGAATGACGAAGGGGTTAGGGTACTGAAGACATTTGAACCCTATGCCGACGACAATTCATCGGTATAGGGTTAATGAAAACTACGTTGTTTCCAACTTATCGTGAATAAAAAAACAAACCTCTATAACGACGTTGGTATAGAGTTCACACGGATCGCCTGCAATCTGTACTGACAACGTGTCGCCGAGATAGCTTTCCACAAAACGTCGTCGTTTTCTTTTTCTGTAACATGGAATATAAATAAATGGAAATTATATTTCTCATAACCTCTCCCAACGATAATTTATCGGCATATGTTTTGAGAAAACCGCGTAAATACTTTCGTTCCTGCCGAAGTTATGGCGACGACAAGTCGTTGGCATAGATATCCAGGACTCCGGGTCAAAAAAAGTTGGTCTACCCACGACATGTCGGCATATTTGCATTTGTACCGACAACTTGTGCCGTCGACATAGATATCGTCGGCTTGTAGAGAATGGAGGGGTTCTGGATTACTCTACTCTAACTTTCTCTTTCCAATATGCCTCGTCACCACCTTTAGCGTTTCACGATGACCATCCTCTTAGGTTGTAACAATCAACACACCTGTGAAGTCCGTTGAAATGTAAGGTTTAACAACGGTAAAATTTGTCATAGTGTAAGTCAAATGGAAGGCTTAACAACGGGAAAATTTGTCATGGAGTAAGTCAAACATGCAGAAGCCACTAGCTATTTATTATTATTTATTCAATATAGAAAGAAAAATTAAATATCCTTCTATCTTTTCTTCTTAATTATCCTTCTACTCGTATAAGATTATGAGACGTGGATACCACTAATTATTTCTATTAATCATGTGTTGATGTTGACATTTATTTGACATAGCGACGAGGAAGATAAATAGGAAGAAGAGTATTTGATATCTCATTTAAAAAATTTAAAGTGGAGTGTAAGTTACATTTACCATGCTTGGTAAATACTTTTTTAAACGAGTATTTGGTAAATACTTTTCCAAATCACTATGGCGTGGTAGAAAATTGGTATCAATGCTCTTAAAATTTTGATAACCATGATAGCTGACTTAGAGCTCCACGCTTATAAAGCTTCATAGAAACCTTCCATGAAACTCACACCTGCCACAAGATTTAAGAAGCTTCATCAGTAAACACATTCCCCATTGAAAAGATTTCGTTTGTACTTAAGTTCCAAACATCATGCCCATCGTCGTCACTCTGAAGAATCTCCTGGAAGACCATTTCATTCCCGAAGCAAAACTTATGTTAATAACCTTACTCACATGTCTTCTTTTATTAGGTTTCTTCATCACCAAAAGAACTTCACGTTCACAAGGAGTTTACTTATTAGATTTCGCATGCTACAAGCCTCCAGATGCTCAGAAGGCCACAAATCAGTTCTGGGTCAAGAAAGTAGAGCACATGGGAATTTACTCAGAAGACACGATGACTTTTATCAGGAAGGGTTTTCGCAAGTCAGGACTCGGTGACTCAACCTATTTTGCAGAGGTCTACCTGAAACAAGATTTTGATCCGTGCTTGAAAGAAACCAGAAGGGAAATGGAGATGACTGTTTTTGGATCAATAGACATGTTGTTGGCTAAAACAGGTGTACAGTGTGAGGACATTGGGATACTGGTTGTGAATTGTAGTATTTATAACACTATGCCATCACTTTCTAGCATGATTGTGAACAGATATAAGCTTAAAGAAGGAATCATCAGCTACAATCTTGTTGGCATGGGATGCACTTCAGGACTCATCGCAATCGGCCTTGCACAAAACCTCCTCCAGGTTAATATATGAACATATAGAATCTCTAACATTCTATGATTTGATATCAATAAAAAAACTAACTAGAAATGCTGATATTTCACAGGTGCATCGTGATTCCTATGCTTTAGTGATGAGCACAGAGGGCATAACCGAGAACGGCTACCTTGGAGACAATCGATCCATGATGATTACCAACGGCCTATTCCGCGTCGGCGGAGCGGCGATCCTCCTCTCAAACCGTCCCTCCGATCATCACAACTGCAAATACAAACTCCTCCACACGGTACACACCAACGGATCGAGTTCCAACCCTTCGTACAACTGCATCTTTCAGGAAGAAGACGAAGCCGGGATAAGAGGCGTCACCATTACCAAAGACCTTTTCAAGGTCGCATCCACCGTCATCAGATCAAACGTAACCACGCTAGGTAAACTAATCCTACCGTTATCAGAGAAACTCAGGTACCTAACAAACAGCATCACAAGAAAACTCCGGCCAACGGCGAATATCCAACCTTACATACCAAATTACAGCAAATCCGCCAAACACTTCCTCCCGCATGTCGGCGGGAAGCCTATGCTTGACAAATTACAGGAAAACCTAGGGTTTGATGAGACCGCCATGGAACCTTCTAGAATGACGCTGTACAGGTTCGGCAACACCGGCAGCAGCTCCATTTGGTACGAGCTGGCGTACGCAGAGGCAAAGGGTCGGGTCAAAAAAGGGAATCGGGTGTGGCAGATTGCATTCGGGTCGGGGTTTAAATGTAGCAGTGTGGTGTGGCGTGCAATGAGGACCGTTGGTTATGATGAGATGAATCCTTGGACGAACGAGATTGATGGGTTCCCAGTTAACGTGGAGTGCGGTGATGGACCATTACCCATCTTTTTTGAACCCTCAAAATAATACTGTGTTATACAATAAAGATTGTATTATTATTATTATTTTATGGTGATGTTTGAGAAAAAATGAATAGTAATTGTTTATTTATTATTATGTAATCCACATATGTCATTAGTCATTCGGTCTTTTTTTGGAAAATGACCACAGGATCCGCAGAGCACCCTCTGCGGAACCATTAAATGCTCTGCGGATCCTCTACAGCTCTGCGGAATTGCTGTTTTTTGATTTTTTTTAATTGTTTTTTCGTTTTTTTGTTATTTTTTTTTTTTGCGTTCATTTTCGTTTATTAATATTAATTTTTTTAAATACACTAATACCTTATGTGATTATGTAAATAATTTGACAAAAAAAGATTAAAAATAATGAACTTATGTTTGATATCAGTCCACAGAAATCTTTGGGAATCCACCCTATGCGGATCCATTAAAGCCTCTGCGGATCCAGCTACAGTTCTGCGGAATGTTGGTTTTTTAATTTTTTTTTCGTTTTTTTTGCGTTCATTTTCGTTTATTAATATTATTTTTTTTAACTACACTTATACTTTATGTGATTATTATGTAAAAAATTTGACAAAAAAGGTTAAAAATAATGAAATGTTTTATTAATTTTTTTAACCTTTTTTTGTCAAAAAAGTATATACCGCAGAGGTGTATACTGATTCTTAGAGGTGTGCACTGATCCGCAGAGGTGTATACTGATTCTTAGAGGTGTACACTGATCCGCAGAGGTGTACACTGATCCTTAGAGATGTGCACAGATCCGCAGAGCTATACACTGATCCTTAGAGG